AGAGAGAGAGAGAGAGAGAGAGAGAGAGAGAGAGAGAGAGAGAGAGAGAGAGAGAGAGAGAGAGAGAGAGAGAGAGAGAGAGAGAGAGACCTCTCTGTCACTCGTCGCAGGGGTAACAGATGCGGACAAACCAACGTCTGCATTCGAGACAATGGGGAACTACTGGTATCGCCTCCCACTTGCCAAAACAGGAAACATGCCGTCAATTTTCCGGTTTTGATAACTGCATCCTTCAGAAGGGCAGAAAAACGGGCTGCTATGGTGTCTCACTTCACGAGACTCTCCCATGTGCCGTGGGGAAATTTCCTTGCTTTTTGTGCGCAGAGGTGGGGTCCAGGACTCTATCTCTGGGGTCCCACTTGAGGTAAGGTGTCCGAGAAGTTCGCAGCCAGGAGGGTGCGCATATTTCTTAGAGATGTCTTATTGTATTGGCACGGGGTATTTTGCCCCCCAAAGGAGCACAGCATGTTGGTCTAGGGTTCAATCCAGCAGACATGTTGGTTCGATGGTGTCAATACGGCAAATTCAATAATGTTGCCCAAGGATGTCAAGGGTTGTCCGTTTTCATCGAGGGCAGAAAAAGAAAGAAAAAGATAATGCGGACATCACGAGCGAATCTAGCGGTGGTGGAGTGTGGGGAGGCGTGATAGGCTCCAGCCTGGCGTGAACCGTGAGGACGATGACATACTCGTCAGTTCCAACTGGATCCAAACGCGACCGATAAAAACAAAAGAATAAGAAACAAATAATATGCGACCCGGGGCAAAATTTCAAATTTTCATCCGTGAGGCGGGGAGGGACGGAGGGAATAAGGGCTCCGGGTATACCTCCAGCGTTTCGTCCGCCTGGCCTGGAATGTCCAGCAGCAGAGTGAAACACGCAGACGGGTCCATACCAGTGCGTGCAGCACTACAGAGCCCAGGCGATTACAGGGCTCGCGGTTGAACAAGGCAGCGTGTTCGTGTGACACGAGAGGACGGCAGCACTCCTGTCCTGTGTGTCGTACGTAGCGTATTGCGCGGCCTGCAGGACAGCATACAGAGCTCCGGCTCGGGAGAGCCCCTACTACGAGTGGCAGAGCGGGAGCTCTAACCGTGAAGCGCAGCTGGACCCGTCTCCATCAGTTCCTCTGCAGACGAGGATCCTTGGCGGTACAGAGGGGTTGACGGGAAAAGCAAGGTTTTATACGGGCTACCGTAAGCTTTAGGAGTAGAACGGAGAGTTATGAATTCTCATTACTGTCCGGCAATATCAAGGGTTCTCACACAGTCCAGGGAACAGTAGTGAAGGTGCCCGTGGCGGAGCGCCGGGGTTGGTTTCTTATTCCCGCCTTTCGCCTCCGGTCGGTGTCTTGCGCGCGCGTCCTCTCGCACTTTGGGCCCCTTGCCCGCAGCGCCATCCGCGCCGCTGCGCATGATTCCCACCCTTATGTTGGTCCGTTTTCGACCTGAGCATTTTCTATCAATCAATTCTTGCGACACGCAAGGGCAGGGCAGCGCAGCGCAGCTCAACGCGGCGCCGCGCGTGTCTCGGCCAATAGGTTGCGCAGGTCTTCCTTCGATTAATCCGGGCTTGCCGGCTTTCGAGGAGAGGTTTTGCCGGTCGAGCTGGGTGTAAGGGCCGGGGGAATTCTGCTTCTTCAGACGCAGGGAGTGACATCCACTTCATTGTGTCTTTGTTTCCACGCCATACTTCCATTCTCGTCACCTTCGACACTGTTGTGGGACTGTTGTTCGAGGAGGGGACTGGGCGGCGGGGCTTGGTTGGTTGGTGAGGCGCGGAACAGATCTTCGCGATGGAGGGAGAAGAGGAAACTCTCGCTATCGTGTGCGACAATGGCTCCGGTATGGTGAAGGCTGGATTCGCCGGAGATGATGCCCCTCGCTCCGTGTTTCCCAGTATTGTGGGTCGACCTCGGCACACTGGGATTATGGTAGGAATGGGATTGAAGGATGCCTATGTGGGAGATGAAGCGCAGTCGAAGAGAGGTATCCTCAGTTTGAAATATCCCATTGAGCACGGAGTTGTGAGTAACTGGGATGACATGGAGAAGATTTGGCACCACACCTTTTATAATGAGCTTCGTGTGTCTCCGGAAGAACACCCGGTGCTGTTGACCGAGGCTCCTCTGAACCCCAAGGCGAATAGAGAAAAAATGATCACAAGTACGTATTTCTCTTGTCCTCTCTCCAGTGTGTTGTTTTTTTCCTGTATGTGATGTCCCTGCCGCGAGGTTCCTCTCCCTTGGTAGGTTTTTGTTTGCGTGTTGTGTTGAGTTCGCTAGATATCGAGAGCTTTTGGCCTTTTGGGGTTTGCATCTCCCCACCTGTAGCACGTGGAGGCGATTTTTTTATTCCTGTGTGAAAACCCTTAGTCTTTCAAGACTTACCCTAGTTTCAGTAGTCGAGTGGAAGTCTCTGTTGCTGTGTTACTTCCCGTATGTGTTGGAGTGAGTACAGGATCATGCTTTGCCCTGTCTCGACGATCATTAGCTGATAATCCTCGTTGCTACGAACACCTGCACTCAACATCGAGTCACTTTTTGCGGGCTCGTCAATCTCCGTCGCTGTCAGAGTTCTTTACCTGCGAGTGACACCTGTTGCCTTTGGCACCACTAACAATATCCTGTGCAAGAGTATTGAGAATATCCAGTGTTGTGAGCCTTAGCAGCGTAGTTATCCACCATCGCATTGCAGCAATTGAAAGGGCATTGTACCCAGAGTACTGCTGCTCACCTTCAATTGGTTCTGTCGATGTGTGCCTTGGTGAAGATATGGATGCTAATGCTGTTGGGCATTCTTGCATGTGTTGTGGGTGAAGATATGGTGTTTTTTAGCCTTGAAGTCGCCGTGTGATAATGTTCTTCATGGCGTTTCTTTCGCTCTCATCTTTGGCATTTGTGTCCGTGATCTTTCGCTCTCATCTTTGGCATTTGTGCCCGTGATCTGTCATGAGAGGTAGTGTTTGCCTCATAACATGGAAGGTCTGTGGCATGTCCGCGCTCTGCCTCCCCGCTGATCGTTTTCGTTTCGCCCTGCGCTGATCGTTTTCGCGCTGCTCGCTCTCCGGGTGCTCTAGCCTGCTCGTTCTCGCGCTGCTCGTTTCCTCGCGTACTATTCTGTGGCGTTTGGTTTTTGGAAAGGCAGTATGCATTCGCTGCTCGTTTCCTCGCGTACTATTCTGTGGCGTTTGGTTTTTGGAAAGGCAATATGCATTCAATGTCAGAAGTCGTTCCCTCTCATATTGCACGGTTTGTCTAGCCGTTTGTTTTTGCGACTCTTCTTTTTTCTGTTTGCACATTTCCTATCGCTACCGGTTCGGGAATTTCCCCGCTTAGTGCGTGTCCCGTGACGGTACCGATGGTCAACCTTCCTTGTGTTTGTAGGCCGTATCCTGTGCCGTGATCTGATCGATTCTTGTGCTTGCGTTTCCGTTTGATATTGATTCTTGGTCTTGCATTTCTGTTTCGCATTTCGTATGTGTTTATGGGCCTACATCGCTAGTCGCTTTGCACACCACGAGCAGGTCCTTTCGCTCTTTCGTTTGTAGTTGTTCGACTTTGTGATCTCCTGCCAATCTCTGTCCACGTGCATTCCATTGTTCATAAACCCTGTCGTTTGCTATCGACTTCGCCTGTGATCGCTTGTCTTTAATCGCCGCCGTTGTTGACCTCCTTCGTTGGCAGTTCCTACTTACGCGCCCTTCGACTGAGTACACACCGTTTCTTATTTATGTATTTCTTCCGTTCTTAATGCCTTTATTTTTTTTGGACTTGTTATTCTCTTTGTAAGAACCCACCCCGCAAGTCCTTAAAAAGTACCTCGGCGTTGTGATCTCTTCCTCGGTCGTCAATCCTTGTCCTCCTTACGCGCCCTTCGACTGTATTGCGCGCGTCTTCGTTTTCATCCTTGTTTCTGTTTGTAATCGTGTTATGCATTTCCTCCGTTCGGAATGCCGTAATCCTCCGTTTTTCTTTTAAAGCTCTTTAACCTTCCGGTTTTTTATATTCCTTCGATTTGTGATCTCTTCCTCGCTCCCGAATCTATTTCCTCTGATTGTTCTTCCTGCGTTGGTCACGTTTCCTAACGTGGAATCCTCTCGACATGTTTATCGTCCGCTTCCTGAATCTCTATGTTTGTAGTCCGTCATTGTCGTTTACCTTCCTACGTTTGTCTTCTCCCTATGTTTGCGTTTTTTCGTTTGCTGTCCCCTTCGTGCTCTTGCTTATCTTTGTTTGTTATCCCTTTCCGTTGTTTAAGATGTCTTCCTTCGTTCGAGAATGCGTTCGACTGGATGTGCCTTCCATCGATTGGTATCGTCGTCGACCGTAATTCCTGACCTTCGTTTTTCGGTTGTGATTCTCGTGTTCACACTCTATTAGTTCTACTGTCTTATTTGAAGTGTTTCTTACGCTACTAATAGTGATACTACGCTTACATGCGTATGTGAAAGCCTATGAAATCATTTATTGATCGGTGAGGTTGTGGTCCCTCAAGGAATGCCAGGCCACAGCTTTGCCCGGTTTTTCATTCGTGTTTCACCCTCGCCGGTCGATACCCAATTCTTCCGGGAGGAGTCGTGCCCGAAGGAGCTTACCGAGTGATGTCTGCTTGCGGTTGTGTGTGAGCCTGTTTAAGCTGTACGGGGCTACTGTTTTCCCCTCTCCGGGTCCCTTTTGGGCACTGTAGTGTAGATTTTCTTGTGTGAGAAAGATTGCACATTGTTGACTTGTAGGTTGCCCCGTTTGACTTCGTTGTCGTTAGTATCCAATTGCATCGGAGTGTCAATGGCGTGAGGATTCGTGTGGTCCAGCGTGTTCCTTGATATGTTCACTGCGTTGATGTTTGTTCTATTTAATATAGCCTGACATTGATGTCAAGGGTGCTTTCACGGGCTTAGGAAGTGGTTAGACTAATGGTGGAAGAACATGGCGTGCCTGGAATTCTGCGGGCGTGGAGTGAGTTGTTTTTCTCCCTGAATGTTGCCCTGCAGAACTCGCAGTGGAATGAACGAATACGCTGGAGTATATGGTGGTGTTCTCTATCCGGGTCCCGAATAGAACGCGCGCTCATTGTAGCTGCATGTGGGCACTTTTCAGTCCCGGTGCAGTGAATATGATGGTGTTCTCTATTCGGGTGAATAGACGATATGTAGTGCAATGAAACCAACGAGCACGCAGTCGCACTTGAAGCAAGCGGGTTGTCTCTAACGAGGCATTGCAGATATCAGAGTAAGGGAACGGGGTTCTTTGCTAGCGAGGCATTGCAGATATCAGAGTAAGGGAACGGGGTTCTTTGCCGGAAGAGAACGCCGGTGGTATCTCGATTTCTTTGCGTACTCGTTGCTCATGTTTTATGTTTTCTCTTGTAGGTGTATCTTAGTGAGGACTCGCCTGGGGTGACTTGTAATAGCGGAACTGCGCTGGAAGTCGTATATTCGCTTGTTCTCTGCTGTCAATGTGTTCACTCTCGTTTGTTAGTTAATCTTTATCGAGCGATGGTCTCAGGCGCTTGTTATCCAATGTGACGTTGTTCTCGAGTGAATGTTTGTTGCTTTTTCTCCGTCGCTTCATTGAATGTCTGCATTAATTTGCGCCCTTTCTTTTTATCCGTCGCTTTATTTAATGTCTTCATTAATTTGTTTCCTGTCACTTATGGCCTCGCCCACACAACTCTGTACACGCATTTCGACGCTTTTCGGACCTTATTTGAACTGTTAAAACTCCGAATGCATCTCCTGGTCCAGAAATCGATGAAGTGCATGCAGACTGTTTTGTAGTGGAGCGAAGCCTCCAGTTTGTTAGCTGTTACCGAGTGATGTGGTCTCTGGGGCCAGTTGTCTGACGTGGTTCTTGTGGTGGATGTGTTTATCGATTGTCTTGTCGATGCGGTGGCGGTCGTGAAAACGTTTGTCGTCTGGTGAGCAGTCATGTTTGAGACGTTCGCGACCCCGGCCGTGTACGTTGCGATCCAGGCCGTGCTCTCGCTGTATGCCAGTGGACGTACGACTGGGATTGTTCTGGATTCAGGAGATGGTGTGACCCACACGGTTCCAATTTATGAAGGGTTTGCCATGCCCCACGCCATCCAGAGGCTGGACCTCGCGGGAAGAGATTTGACGCAGTACCTGTGCACAATTCTGACGGAGAGAGGGTATTCGTTTACGACCACTGCGGAACGGGAAATTGTGAGGGATATCAAGGAGAAGCTAGGGTATGTGGCATTGGACTTCGAGAAGGAGATGGACACGGCAATCCATAGCTCATCGCTGGAGAAGTCGTACGAGCTGCCGGACGGACAGGAGATCAGTATTGGAGCAGAGAGGTTCCGCTGTGCGGAAGTGATGTTCAACCCTGCGCTGGTTGGGCTTGAAGCGCCGGGTATTCATGCCACTACCTACAATTCGATCATGAAGTGCGACGTGGATATCAGAAGAGAGTTGTATTCGAATATCGTTCTCAGCGGTGGCTCCACGATGTTCCCTGGAATATCTGACAGGATGAGCAAGGAGGTGTCGACAATGGCCCCGCCGACGCTGAAGATCAAGGTCGTCGCGCCGCCGGAAAGGAAGTACAGTGTCTGGATTGGTGGGTCTATCTTGTCCTCGTTGAGCACGTTCCAGCAGATGTGGATTGCGAAGGCCGAGTATGATGAGGCCGGACCGGGCATTGTTCACAGAAAGTGCTTCTAATCGACAGGTAAACGTTGTCGGGCTCATCCCGTTTATGGCTATGGCTTGCAGCAAAGTGGTGCTGCTGCTGCATTGGCTGTTGGGACAGACAAGATAGATAGATTTGCTGCCGATGATTGGTGGCGAGACAGATTTTTTTCTTTGTAGTAGAGGGTTTGGATTGATACATAACACACACAGTGATGCATTTGTTTTTTGGGGCGGAGAATGATGGCCCTGGATGGTGGATGGAACTGTGAGGAGTGTCGCATAGAGTGGGAGGCTGCTGCGTTGTCTTGGGGGGTTGAGGGAATGGGAGGGGTGAGGAAAAATTAGAAGAGAAGTTTGATGAAGGTACCGTCGTTTTATTGGGATGAAACAGGACGGCGAATACGATGACGAGACTGAGGTAGGAAAGAGCGGGAGAGAGCAGTGGAAGGCGCAGTGGAAGGCGCAGTGACAGGAGAGAGCAGTGCAAGGCGCAGCAGTGACAGGCTGGTGAGTGGCAGGTGAACTGTGAGGAGAAAAGCAAGCATGCGTTGAGCAGGCAAGAAAAGAAACGAGGAGGCAAGCGTCCTATATGATTTTCTATGCGTAGTGTTTGTATCCGTCCCTCGTGACTGAATCTGTAAATGGTTTTCGGTCGATGGAACATACTTTTCTTGTCGCTCTTTCAAGCAAGCGGGGTATGTAGGTTGTAGCTTTTCTCGACGCGCAGCTACGCTCTGAAAAGAAAAGCGCTACGAGCTGAAGACTCTTATCGTTAAGAAGCTTGCGTTCCTCTTTTCATTCTCTTTCGTCTGCTCTCTCGCATTTATGGCTTGGACATACCGAGTTTCTCTCCGTCGCACTTGTCTGATCTTCCTTTCGGAAGGCCTTCACGCGTATCCGTTCCCGTCCTGCGGTGTTGGTGTCGTCGTTTTCGTCGTCTTTGCACGTCCTATGTACTCGGGCCGGGCGTTGGGCGGGCGTTACTTGTGTCTACTTGCATCGGGGAAGCAACGCTTATGGCGGTCGCCCCTCCCACGACTTATGTTAATCAGTAGTGTCCTAGCGGTCTGAAAGATGTCAAGAAATGGGGAATGATTGTGAAGTGTTTGAACTCATTTGATTTCTTCCTCGCGTCGCATCGTTGCATTGACGCTATGCGATGCGGTGTGGGTATATATACGAGATATCAGTCGATAGAGGTGGAGGGCGACACTTGTGAGGGCGAAGCATATACCTCGCCGGCGAGAGCGTTAATGGTTTTCACTGTAGCGAAGGGCCTCGTTCTGTCGCTGGATTTGCTGGAGGGCATGTGTCTAGTCGGGAAGTCTAAAGCTTTACGGGTACATGCGATAGATATACAAGCTCTACGGGAGCATACGAAAGAATAACCTCTGCAGGCGCTCTTCGGGTGATGTGAGAGATGGGGGAAAAAGTGCAATGATTGTGTTCGTTGGGTCCGTTCCGAGAACCGGCCAATCGACTGTGGCGTTCGCAGTGTTAATGCGCGGATTGGGCCTTCAGCGTCGGAGTAACAGTTTCTGTCTATCTGTTGCAGGCGCGCTGGAAGAAACGCGATGGGATCGTGAGCTCGGTTGACATGGAGAGCCGCAACAGTGGTGGGGTTCTCGACGTTCCTGTAGGGCTGTTCAGGAGAGTTGAGTAGCTAGATTGACGGGACGTGTTGGCGGGGGCGGGCGGGGGGAGGGGGATGGGAGGGGGACTAACTGGGAGACTAAGCCGCCAACCCTTTTTGGCTGCTTCTGTTGTTGTGCATGTTTATATTGAGGGGGGCGGATTCGAGAGGACAGGTCAGGAGCTGTCGGTGATTACTGAACCAGGTGGTGGATTTATCTTCTGCCGTTGTGCGGGCGGAGTCCTTGGGCTCCACCTGTCTCGTCGAGGAGCAGCAGTGTGGGCAGAATTAGGGAGAATGAAAAGTAATAAACCGATTACGATGATGGCTCATGCGGTCGTCTGTGGAAGGTGGTGCTGCGGTTGGGATTGGGAGGCGGTACGGAGCAACGGTTGGGATTGGGAGGTGTTGCCTTTCGCTCGTGGTTTCGACTGTCAGAATTGGCCCGGTCCGTCCACGATATGGTGGAGCATTGAATTCTTTTGTTCTCTTGTCATTCGATGGTGCCATGCAATGCAAAGAAGAGGAGCGGTTTTGTGTCGTTTGCTTAATGGCCCTCCGCGGCGGTTTTTTCACTGCTTTAAAATCGTGTGTAGTGATGAATGCCGGCTGCAAGTAGTCGGCAAGATGTACGTAAACTCTATTGTTCTCTCGCTGCGTAGGTGTTTCAGGTGGTGGTGTCTATTTTGGGTACCATATGGGAATACAAATTCAAGATACATTGTGTGAACTCGGGTGGGTATTAATGACTCATTTTCTCCTCGTTGCTTCTCGTTCGTTAATCTCTCCCCGAGTGGGGCTTGTTACCTCGTGAATCCTCGCTTTCGTTTCGATTTACTCTCTCATGTGCATGGCTCAGTTATAGGTTCGGTATGGATTGCTGCCTTTGGTATCGATGGCTGGTGTGTGTGTACTGTTTTGAGAGATTTTGTTGGTGGCTTGCATGGATGGCTGTATGTGGGCAGTATATGGCGCCGTACATTGCGGCATCTCTCCCAGTCTTGTAGGGTTACTGTCGTAGCTCTGGACTCGTGGCGCTGAACTCAGCGCAGAGCAGTTCAGACAATAGAGCGATCGTGCGTTTCTATCCCATGCAACGCAAACGTCATCCTATGGATGAGTGGTGTTTTCCACGTTTTTGTATGTATTTCCTCGGAACGGTCTGTTTGCGGAGATTGAGTTGAGCTTATTATGATTTGTCAAGTGCTTCAGTTCTCGTGTTTTGTGAGAAATGGCCAGACCGTCTGGTCTTGTTGGGGGGGGGGGGGGTTGAATTTTGCCGAGGAGAGGGGGCCGGGGGATTTGCTTTCGGGAGCAAAGAAGGGTCGGGGTACCGAGGTATGAGGGCATTGAAAATGAGGCGCTGGAGTAATTATGAGCATTTTTAAGATCTGTCTATGGACAACAATTGCTGTCTCTCCCCCCCTCCCCCCCCTTGGATCGCCAGTTTCAATATCACTCGTGTCCGACCGTTGCTTTGTTGTCGTAATGGACGCCCTCTAGGTGTGTCAGTGTGTGTGCTCCTGATGTTCTGTGTCGTCTCATGACGTCTGTTTTTTTTTTCGATGTTCAGGTGCACCTATGCTGTGCCCTGTTTCTTTCTTTTTTATCAACAGCATTTTCCTCTAGGACGCGTGCCCGTTATTCGTGAACGCGTGTCGGTTTCCTGTGTACGTGAAAGATCGGACGGCGTCGATTTGCAGCGGTGAAGGATCTGTATGTATGGCTGTATCGAGTATGTGAAGGAACAAAATGGATGGTGCTCTCTAATGCTTTCTGAGGCACTTGTCTATGCCGTTGTTGGGTGCTTAGGAACAGAAATCATATGTTCTCTGACGCACTCGGCTATCACGTTGTTAGTTGTGCCTTTTGCTGAGGCTGTAACCTGAGCAGAAGCGAGAATCTATGGTAGTGGACGTTATAGCCCTTTCATGGGATCTGGCTTGCCCCCACGAGCATGGGCTGTTAACAAGGGCAAGTAATGTAAGGGACTGGTATATATTAAAGCAAAGTCACGTTATTCATACTGGATGAGAGGAATCTTAGTGGGAACCGTCAGCTAGAACTGCGTTGGTAATCGGTCATGAAGTGCACAAACTAACAGAGGCAACGTCTTAAACTTCTATGCGTGCGTAGGTGTGGTGGCGTGCCTTTGCGAGTGTGCGCTTGCTCGTGAAACGTTTAATTGCGCTATGCGGCCATGATCTATCTATCTATCTATCTATCTAACATCCTGCTCGTGAAACGTTTAATTGCGCCATGCGGCCATGATCTATCTATCTATCTATCTAACATCCTACGGATATCACGGCATGCATGTAGTCAGGTGTCTGCTTCAGTCGACCGTGAGTTAGTCGACCGTGCATTAATCGGTGGACCTCTGTTGCGTTGATGCGACTGGATTTTGTGGCTACTCAAGGCGTGAGTGGAATGGACCTGAGGCCATCTATGTTCTTCGCAAAATATGTGCCGGTGTCTGTGCAGCTTATGCTCGTCTTTTGCTGAAGTAGAACCTCGTGATCTATGCTATTTTCTTTATTGCGGACTCCCCGGTTTCTCTGTCGGAGTGCGCTTGCAGTGAAAGGGGTTTTGGAGGGACGCCGGGAAGGGGTTTGAGAGGGCGGAAGTGTGGTAGGGATTTTCTCCAGGGGAGAGGGAGTGGGGGGTACTTGCATGATGTTGCTACATTCTTGGCTGAGCATAGAATTGCCCTCGCTAGAGTTGTGGCTTTTGCCTTTCGTGAGTTTATTTTCAGTTCCGGCCGGCATGCTTCTCGCTTCTGCCGCATTTGTGACCCTTGCAGTGACGTGGATGTGGAGGTGCCGGTTCTGTTTGCCGTCCACATTCAAAGCGCATAATACGATCGGAGTGCCTCTCGCTTCTTGGTTGGAAACGAAGCGTGTACTCGAAGGTACACAAACGAGAAGGGTGGGGGAGAAAAACACGTCAGGAGTGAGTGGATGAACTGCACTTGTTGATGGCGGGGGCGTGGCGGTTGTTCGTGTTCCACATAGAAAGGACGTAATCTTGTTGAAAAGCAGCGTATCAAATGGTGTTTTGTCTAAAAGGGGGGTAGGAAACGGGAGAAAAGAAACGCGATAGGAGGGTGGATTGACTGCGTTGGGTGACAGCGTGGGGGGCTAGAGTAGGGACGGACAAATGGGAAGTAACTTCCTGTCAGGACAGAGAGACGCACAGTTAAGTAGGCACTCAAATCGCAAAATCGCAAAAAATCAGCGGCCATATGCAGGCCTCCTAATTGAAGAACTCGATCTGGCCGCTCATTTGGCTGTTCTGTCATTTTGAGAGCCGTGGTAGTACGAGTAGACTCTGATTATAGTGTGGTTGGCGGTTCATTCGCTCCTACCGCGGTGCCATACCCTTTAGCGTTGATTGGTCTCGGATAGAGGTCGGTATGGTACATCCGATAGAAAACCGTTCTGTGCTTTTGGGGCTTGGAACTGGGGGCACCGAACCCCGAGCACCCCGAGCTGAGGGAAATGTCTACCCTTCCGTTTCCGGCGACGAAGTAGACTTGCCAGAGCGGGCTACCCGTTTGTGGTCGTAGATTTTTGGTGGCTGGAGGGGCTTTGGATGACGTGGAACGGTGCCACGGAGGGGTCTTATATTTTGTCGACGGGGACGACTGTATGGAAAAGTGCGTGGATTCGTTTGTTTTGGGCCGTCGATCCTCATGATCGACGATTCGAGATACGAAGTAAATGTTTTTTTTTCCCCCCGACTGGGTATGGACGCCGCTGTCAAGACATGCGAAGGCCGAAACAAAAAAAAAAACAGAAAAAAAAAGGTAGCACTGGCCCTCGGTAATTCAGAGCTATACCATGTCGTTCCTCTGCTTCCAGCGGAGTTCGAACTTGGGTCTGGATTGATTCAAGGATTGATTCGAGATACGAAGTAATGCGTGTTGATCGGTGCCAGGAGTCTCTCACAGTCTGCTGACAGGGGAGGGGAAGAGAGGGTCGGTGCCAGGCGTCTTGCTGTCTGCTGACAGGGGAGGGGAAGAGAGGGTCGGTGCTAGGGGTCTCGCAGTCGGCTGACAGGGGAGGGGAAGAGAGGGGAGGTATCTGACGGAATTTGATCTTAAGATCTGATTCCACGTCGATTCGAACTCGTAACCTGTTTTGCTAATTTCGCCTGGTTTGAGCTCGTTAGAGCTTCACGAACAGCAGCAGCAGCAGCTGTTGTGTGCGAACCAGTCGATCACATGGGCTCTGGGTGGAAGCGTTATATGTCGTTTCGATTTTTGTTTTCCCCATGTTTAAGATGCTCTTTCAAGTTGGCTTTTGTGGATCAGGGGCACTGCAATGATTGGCACTTCGACCAGCTGCTCCGAAGGTTAATGCATTTCTGGTTGACGTCTCCTTTTTTGTCTCGTATACGATGTGGACTGCTGAACAAGAGAAGACTGGCAATCTGCCGCGGTGTACGCAGGGAAGGGGTCGGATGGGGTCTCACCTGCTCTTTGGAACTGTGGCGGCACGAAAGGGCCTGAAAATGCAGGTCAGCATATGCATCGGTGTCGGTTCCCTGGGAAAAATGAGGGCCACGCCTTCAGGTGTTGTCACGAGGGATCAGTGGGTGTTCGAAACCTCTGTTTCTCTGTGTGGGGAATATAGGTGCACGACCACGCCTTCAGTTGTTGTCATGAGGGAGCAGAGGGTTTTCAACCCTCTTTTTCTGCTTGGGGAGAATATACAGTTGTGTCCTTTCAGGAATGCCGTTCCTCAAAAGGTTGATGTGATGGCAGGCGAGCCTCTCTGTGCAAATGGACACAGCAGTAAATGGGGGGGAGGAAAATGGTGAGTCTCCCAAGTGGAATTGCACCGCACCTCTGGCAAATGATGTGCCCGAGGAGCTGCAGTGTTCCTTGGTGTGATCTGCTTGTGGACATGACGTGGGGGCCGGTGTGTGGTCGTAAATTGGACTGGGAAACGGAAGTTGAACCACCAGTCCCCGGAGGCTTAGGTTTACCAGAGGTGTTTCCCCCCCGCCCCGGGTCGCCCAAACAAAAAACGAACCGGTGTGTG